TCTTAACACCATTTCGAAGTATTCAGTGCCTAGTTTATTGCATCACAAATTAGGCACCATGAAGAAAATGGGTAGCAGTTTGAAGCAGTTTATCACGCAGAAATCATCATAAGAATATAAAAGGAAAGGATAGACATAGAGAAAGGACCTCGAATCAAACACTCTCAAACAGAGAATATGTAAATTCACTTTCTTAGATTAACTTTAATTATCCTTCTTTCAATACTTGTGTGCTTGCACCCCTTAGAGGCATTCTGTCCAATTGTAACTCTTATCAATAAAGCACCCATTTTAGGGATTTTGTCTCAAGAGGTTTGTTTCTTACACAATCGTCTGAATTTCCTTTTAATTGTTAGCGACTACCCGAGCGAAACAAAAAGATATTAATTTGCCAGAAAAAACTCTGGTATCCTTCCAAGCAAAGTTCAAGATGATGAATGAAGAATATATTCATAATACCCTAGGAGATAGTTAAGTTATATAGAAACTTACAGAAATCATATGTTATGTAAAATATTGAAAATCAAAACATTTGAAAATTTAGCCACCCAAATATCATGGTTTTTTCTACGTTTTTGACACTATAATAATAAGGGCTCCATGCTTTTTTCAGGTTGTATTAATCTTTATTTCTCCCTCTCTTTGCTAGATTAGTCTTTGGTTTTTCAATCAACGAAATGATTGCAAATTCACTCCCCTGTATGCGTTACCGATCTACACGTAGTGTAGAAAAATATTGATATTGTCGTTCCTAAATTAATTGAGAGTTTGTTTGGTACTCTATCTTCTCAAATTTATTTTTAATCACATATCTTCTTGTGCGTTTGATTGTGAGCATTGAAAGAAAATAAATTCTAGACAAATCAATTACCTAGAACTTATTTGCATGAAAATTATTAATTAAATGCGTTTGATTGATTTAATTTCCAACTTAAAAAATATTATACTTGTCCATTTTTTTTATGATGAGTAGATGAGAGAGACTGTTGAGTTTTTTGATACCCAATAAATCCGGACTATGATGTTAAACTGTTTATTGTTGGATTATACTTCATAGGCTTCGGCCGATGAGTGAAGAGAAATATCGACACCACAATAGTTCGATCCAAACCCACAACCTAATTGGGCCATTTGAAGCAGCCTAATTTAATTAGGGTTGCTCATGGCCCAACCCAAAAGACTTGGATGACTTTTTTGGTTGGTAGCCCACTTATTGGGCCTCTATTATCCCCTAAACCTAAAAGCCCACAATTGCTACTATTTATGCTGCCCATTACTGTTGTTTTCTCGTGTGTGGAATTAGCCCTTGGTTTTAAGAGAAGAAAAGGCACCTCAGTCTCGTGTCTTGCTTCCTGCTTCCCTGCCTTCTTGCTTTCTTGTCTACTTCCTCCTTTAGCCTGTGTGGCTGATCTTTGAGGCTATATTAACCCCCCACACCCAGCCCTTTGTGGGTTGCCATCGAGAGCAACCAGTTGGCTTGGGAAGGTGACGGTTGTGAGGTTTGGTTTGTTGCTTTGTGGTGTAGTTTTGNCTTGGGAAGGTGACGGTTGTGAGTTTTGGTTTGTTGCTTTGTGGTGTAGTTTTGGTGTAGACTGAGCCCAGGAAATCAAAGATTGGAACCTCAAATTCAACAGAGACGATAGATGAGAGTGAGAAAGAGATAGTGAATTACCTACAAAATAAAAATCACCAATTTTTAAAGAAAATGTTTTTCTTATTTAAAAAAAAAATATGGTCACTTGTCAAAAAGTTGAAAAACATTTTTCATGAAAAAAATTGTCAATCAAACACTTCATAAGTAGGAATTCGAGTAGAAAAATGACATTTTTTTTTATGAAAAATAAAGTCAACAAACTCTTCATAAAATAATTTTGTAAATGAATATACAACTTTTCTTCATCTCAGAAAGGTCAATTTTCACGAAAAACTATTCTAAAAAACTTTATACTTGTGTCATTTTCTTTTTGAATGGTCAAAATTGCCAAGTTTTCCATTCCATTAATTGACCCAAGACTTTGAGAATACAAGCACGACTGCTAATATGAAAGTGATATTTGACTAGTAGAAACTTGTCCCATTCTACAAGTGATTAATATTTGCAAGCGACTTGCTCTCTGACTTCATTTTCAAAGGATGAAGAACAATTGTAAAAAAAAGGATATGTTTTTTAATATTAGTATTTTATAAATAAAAAAAATATTCATAGTATATCCTGCTAAAAACAAGATAACAGTACTAGATACACATTTTCCGTAGACTTTGTAAGTCAAGTCAACTAAAGCAAAATTGAGACAACACAGTTAACAAAATGAACAAGTATTCCTAGACTTTAGGAAGTTATATTTGCCTCATTGGTTGCTTCAATCCAGGCCACAGTGGGATTAGATGTTATTAAGCATGTGGCAAACAAAGAGGCACAGAGGTACTGGAAGAAGCTTGTGTTTCTCCCTATGTATTCTTTTGTGGTTCATAGAAGGAAGATTATGTTGGGGGAGTGACAAACTTTCAGGGGACGATTCTCTTTCAGGCAGTGATACAATAATATCTGAAAAGGGCACTTTTGAAATGGGATTTTTCTCCAAAAAAACAGGTACTTATGATAATCTGTATCTAGGCATATGGTACAAGGATTTTGAAGAAAAAACCATAGTTTGGATAGCAAATAGAAAAACGCCTCTGCCTAATATGCCTAGTTCGAGACTTGAAATCTCTGGAAATGGTATAGTTTTGTTTGATGAGGTTGATATCGCATGGTCTTCAGGTATGAGTTCAATATATCCAGATTCTGTTGAAGCAGTGCTTCTTGATAGTGGAAATTTAGTTGTAAGAGATGTCTCGAAGCCGTCTGTCATATTCTGGCAGAGTTTTGATCATCCAACGGATACATGGCTACCGGAAGCAAAGCTCGGGTTCCATAAGGTTAATAACAAAAGGCAGCGTCTAACATCGTGGAAAAATGCAGATGATCCTTCCTCTGGTATGTTCTCAGTGGGGGTATCTCTAGATGAGACTGGTGAATACTCCTTGAAGTGGAATATGTCTGATAAATATTGGGGGAGTGGTCCCTTTGTTGGAAAAAGATTTGGTTCAGTACCAGAGTTGAGCTATCGCACCAATTTTAGCCTTGTATCCAATGAGAATGAAACATATTACACTTATACCATTGTTGATCCTCTTGTTCTAACAATGTTTAGGATAACGCCATCTGGAAAGTTCCAGCAGCTCGAATCTTTCAAATCCCCGAGTAAATGGACTGAAACCTTTGTTCAACCTAAAAACAAAAGTGATATTTTTGCATCTTGTGGAGCATATGGCATATTCAGCGAGAACTCTTCAAAAACCTGCTCGTGTTTGAAAGGTTTTTCCCCAATATCTGCTGAAGCAACGCATCGAAATGATTGGTTTGGTGGCTGTAAAAGACAAAACCGTCTGCAGTGTGAAAATAGTACTTCAGGGAAAGGAAAAATAGACGGGTATTTGAACATTTCAACCATTAAATTGCCTGCAAACTCTAAAGTATATCATGCTCAGAATGACAAACAATGTAAATCAGCCTGCACGCAGAATTGCACCTGCACTGCTTATGCATTCAACGCTAGCGGGTGCTTCATCTGGGAAGGAGATTTATATGATGTACGTCAACTTTCAAACGATGACTACACTAAACAAGATCTTTACCTGAAAGTTTCCAACTCCGATCTTCCTGATACTCCAGGTTGGTGCTAATCAATCGTCACACAATAAATCGTATCATAATATCTGAATCTACAGTGTTTTTTTTTTTTTCACTCGGTCAATTATATAATTTCTCGTTTATTCATTCAGGAAAAAGAAAGACATTGGAGGTGGTAGTGGCAGTGCTGGTTCCATTGGTTGTACTTTTTTCAGGAGGCTTTATAGGATGCTTTTACACAAGGAAGATCAAACAAAAAGGTCTACCTTATAAATTGATCCTAATTGATTATAATTCAC